TATGTATTTGATTATTTGTATTCCAATAGTCTGAATATATAGATATAAATATTATAATGTACTCATATTGGCCGTTTTCCATTAATAATTATCATTTAAGCAACATAGCATCATTAAGTCTAACCAATAATTTGTATTGATTAATATTTTAAAATATTAGAGTCAACATTGAATGGAACCAAATCTGCCTTAAAATGATTGTAAGAATCTACAAGATAAATACAAAAATGCACTAATAAACCAAGTTAAAAAAGGATTGCTATTGTAAAATTGAATTTATACAAAATTTGATCTTCAAATGAAATTTGATTTACACGTTTCTATTCATATCTGCCGTAAAATGAATATGCCAATCTACACGATAAATATAAAACCGATCAAGGTATAAAAAATGGAGTACTATAAACTTGCTATGCAAAATCTATACCTATGTATATAAATCTACTATATAAAAAGTTCTCACACATATAATGGGGAAGTTGTCTAATTAAAAATTGTTCAGCTTGAATATATATACAAAGTTCTCAAACATCCAATTTAAAATTGTTCGGCCTGAAAAAATTAACGTGAAAGTCTCACACATCCAATTAAAAATTGTTCGGCTTGAAAAAATTAGCGAGAAGTAATGTCTAATCACTAATGTTTTTATATTTTATATCTTTTTTTTTCCCAAACCGATAGAGGATCTATATTAATCAAAGCGCACAAAGTGCGTAAAGAAAGCAGCCAAAAGCTGAATATTACAACCAGAGGCTATAAAATTGGGAGGCAGATCCGGAGATCGCCTAGAACCGGCTAGCAACGCTAGAATGACAAACTCGCAATTACACAAAAACAACCAACACAAATAACAACTAAGACAACTAAAAAGATCCCAACGGGATAATACCCGATTGTCAGATCCCAACAGGATAATAAGTCGACACTGGGGCGCACTGAGACCAAATGGCCCAAACCAAACACAAACCTAGGCAACATAAACACGAACACAAAGAGAACTAAACAACCTAATCTAACAAACAAGGCCCTTCCCCAGCGGGACAGCCAAACCCAGCACAAGGCACCGGTGAAACAAGGACAAAACATCCCACAGCTTGACCCGAAATCCAGAACGCCATTCTCGCCACTGCCTAATGCCTAGCAAAGGACGAGTCCCGAACCTCAAACCACTCTGAGGATGAAGTCGAACCATAGCCCAAGGAGAAACAACAAGCCCCCCACACACCAGCTACCCGAGATCCAGCCAACACCACTAGCCTAGATTCTGGCATGCCGGCATCCCAAAGCCACAACACCAATGGAAATAGGGACCGAGAGCGAGAAACAGTCCTCCTCAGCCCCCAGCCGCCGCGACTCAGAGAGCCGAGTAGCCGGGGTTGCACCCAACACCCCAACCACACACTCCACCCGACAATCAGACCCAAATCGGAGTAGAACCCCTCAAACTCGCCATCGACCACCAACAGAGTCAGGACCAACCAAAGGACTCCGGGAATCCTCCGTCGGAGCCGAGAATCGGACACCAAAATGACAGAGGACCGACGAACTCGCCATCGACCACTGAACTGGGGCGAAGCCGACTAAAAGGCATCAGGAATCCACCGTCTAAGCCGAGCAAACCAGGAGGGGAGCCCGATTGGAGCGTGGCCGCGCAGCTACAAGCCATACGCCGGCTAAGGGTCGGCTACCCGCCGGGGAAGGCACTCAGCGGTTAAGATTTGTCGAAGAACGGCGAGAGAGGATGTGGAGTAGGGTTTTCGCGAGAGAGGAAAAGGGGTGGTTTCTATATTTTATAGGCATAATGATGGAACAATACACGACCTTTACTTGATTGACCATTTAATCACGACATTTAGACCTTGGCAAATAAATACATGACTTTTATATTATTGGCAACTCGATACACGATTTAACGTCCGTCAACGGAAAGCAGACGTGGCAATTTTTTTTAACGGCCACGTCACCGAGTAGTCTGACTCAGCAAACAGAAGCCAAATCATCAGTTAAACCTTGGCAGTTTAATACACCACCTTTGGTTTTTTGGCAACCCGATACACGAAATTAACTTTTTTTAGCAAAAGGTGCCGCATCAGCATTTTTTTTTTTATGTAAATTCATTTAATATATTTATTTATTTTAATTGTACTTTTACTATTGAAATTATGTTTACAATTTAAATATATAGTGATTACAAACAAAAAATAAATAAAAAATACATTATTTTATTTAAATTTTAATTTATATATTTTATTTAATTCTAGTTTATTATTTTTTAATATTTAATATATTCATTTTTTAATACTATTTTATCTTATTTAGTTTCAAATAAATTTTATTTAAGCATTAAATAAATATTTATAATATAAATATTTATAATATAAATATAATATTATTATTTATTTATTTAATTTTCTGAAATTTACTTTTATTATTATTTAACATACTTAAATAAAAAATATACGAATAAACTAAATAAATAAATATATTAAATACATATAATATAAATAATGTAATATTATTTATCTAAATAAATAAGTATATTAGATTTTAATTATATGTTTTATTGAATTCTATATTATATGTTTTATTATTTATTATTCATTATTTACTATATTAATGCTAATTTATTTTATTATTTATTAATTAAACACTGAATACATTAAATATTAAAAATTAATAAAGTAGAATCAAATAAAATATATAAATTAAAAATTAAATAGAACAATATATTTTTTATTTATTTTTTTGTTTGTAATCACTTCCAAGATGCAGTGCTTCCGGGGTAAAGGAAACGGATCCTTCATTGTGACCTCGCCCGAAAATCAACGCAGATTCGCTTCCATTCCTTTTGGGCGCCACCACGATGGGCGACACCCAATCGCAGTTTTCACCTAAAAATGATGCCCGCTTCCAATTCTTAACCTCCTCATGGACAGCCTCAGCGTACTTCGGGTATATAGCATAGCAGCGGCTACTAGCTTCCTTAGCTTTTGCAAAAGGCTCTTTTTTCTTTTTTTCTGCATTGCTGAATAGCGTCCGAGAAAGTGATTTCCGGCTCGGAGTATATTTAAATTATAATCATAATTTGAATAATAAAAGTATAATTAAAATAAATAAAAATAATAAAAGTAAATTTAATGAATTTAAATAAAAAATAAAATAGAATGCTGATGTGACAGCTTTTTGCCAAAAAAAGTTAAGTTCGAGTATTAGATTGCCAAAAAAACAAAGGTGGTGTATTAAATTGTCAAGGTTTAACTGATGATTTGACTTCTGTTTGCGGAGTCAGACTTCTAGGTGACGTGGCCGTTAAAAACAATTGTCACGTCAGCTTTCAGTTGACGGATGTTAAATCCATGTATCAAGTTGCCAAAAATGTAAAGGTCATGTATTTATTTGCCAAGGTTTGAAAGTCGTGATTAAATGACCAATCAAGTAAAGGTCGTGTATTTTCCGGCTATTAGGTCATATTTTATATCTACTATATATAATCTTTTTCATAAAATTAGCGCGTTGTAATGTTTAATGTTTTGTATTTTCATGCACAATTTTTTAGATATGATTACTAATATTTTTTTAGACTTTAATACATGTTATTCACATGGAATATTTTTTTATATTTTAAACATGTTGTGTATATATGTGTGTGTGTTGAACCTTTTTTGTAGACATGTTTTACTTTCAAAATAATTTTAAAAAAAAATTATATGACCTCACATTTTTTAAGAATAATATAGAATATTTTAGATAATCTTATATATGTTATATAACATTTTAGGTGTTTTTAATATTTTAAACATACATGTTTAATGTTCTTTTAAACAAGATAAAAAAGTATAAAAATATTAGTGAATATTATTTAGCTATTCAAGTACGATATTAATATGATAAACTAACAACTCCTTTGTCGAACTGGCAGATAAATTATCATGTTATAAATAGATTCACCTGCTTCCAATTAACAGGTCCTTCTGATTTTAGGATTTCATTTAAGAGTCAAGATCAGTCTTTTTGTATAAAAAAGTATAAAAATATTAGTAAATATTATTTAGCTAAATATTATTCCGTTGGGATCGTTTCATAGTTTTTTATTGTATTTATTGTAGTGTAGTTTGAGTTACTTTTCTAGCGTTTGCTAGTTTAGCGGATTTAGGCGATCTCCGGATTGTCCTCCCAGTTTTAGGCCTTTGGTTGTACTTTTCAACTGTTAGCTGCTTTCTTTTCGCACTTTGTGCACTTTGTGCGGTTTTAGTTATATAGTACCTCTATCGTTCCGGGAAAAAAAAGAAAAAAAATCATGTATAGTCGATATTAAAATGATATAGTACCAGCTCATTTGTCTAACTACCTAAGTAAATTATCATATTATAAATAGGCCATCTTAGGATTCCATCTTTGGGTTCCATTTAAGAGTGGAGGTCAATCTTGATCGTGTGTTGACATGTTCTTAAAGAAATCGGTTATTAGTCACGCACGACCAATTATATGTTGTTGTTTCGCGTGTAAGTAAAAGATAAGAGTCGTGCATTGACATGCTCTTAAAAAAATTGATTCTTAGTCACGACCAATTATATGTTGTTGTTACGCGTGTAAGTAATGGATAAAGAAGAGTCAAGGCTAGCCTTTATCGTACGTTGGCAAGTTCTTAAAGAAATAAATTTTTAGTCACATACAATTATATGTCGTTTGTTTCACGTGTAACTAAAAGAAAAGAGTTAAAAATATTAGTTTGTGGGACGACGAGTTGTCCAGTTATTAAACAAATAATATTGTGTAAAAGAAAATTTTTAATAATATATTATTTTTTCATGAGGATCATTTATAATTTGACAATATTTTTACAAATTATCACTCTTTTATTTATTAATATATTTTAATTTATAATATTCTTTAAAATAAATACAGCCCGTTGCACGAGGCTTACATACTAGTGGATGATTTATCACAAAGAGGACTAGCTTTAAAGAGGTCAAACCACATTTTGACTGACAAGGGGACTCCGATTCCTCGACAGAATAAAACCCAAAATAAGATAACAAATTAAAAACCCACCAGAGAAAAAAAAAAATGAAAATTAAAAGGGAAGAGAAAGAAGACCAACACTCCACGCGTAAACTATCAAGATCTATTCTAGGGTTTCTCACTTTTTCAATTTCTAATCGATTCTAAGTTCAAAACACCTGTCCAAAAGACCGTCGATTCTCTTCTAGTTGGGGGCGTTGGTCGGGATTCTTTCTGTCGGTTGTCGAAAAATTCTCAGGTATTTAGGAGAAAAAAGTAAAACAGATGCCGGACGAGGATTTTGTGGAGGTGAAGTTCAGATTATACGATGGATCGGATATGGGTCCTTTCCGATATTCACCGGCCGCCACTGTATCTATGCTCAAAGAGAGAGTTGTAGCTGAGTGGCCTAAAGGTGTGTTTGTTTTGGTTCATCTGATTAATTTGTTCTTTCGCTTTGTCTGTTCCAGAGGTGAAAACTTAATGTGATTTTTGATAAATAATAGGTATTAGCTGAAACCCAGTTGAAGTTTTGAATATATTTTATTTATTCGGTGACTGAAAGGCTTCTTCGTTTATTATGCATCAAGATTGATGGTTACATGACTAATTTAACTGCAACTGATTGAACAATAGATTAGGACACTATAAAAGCTACAAAAAGCAGAGCTTCTAGTTGTATATAATATAACTAATTCCACAAAACTTAGGTATGTATTTATTTCATTTGCATAAGAAAGGTTTGGGCTTTGCCCGACATGCATACCTTAAATATAGACCGCTTTATGTTAGCTTTGTGTTGAATCTCCATGTGTGTATTTAAACTCCGGATGGAATGAAAGATTATTTTATTTATTTTGGATGTAATCTTCTTCAGATAAAAAAATTGCACCAAGGTCTGCAAGTGATGTGAAACTGATAAGTGCGGGGAAGATATTGGAAAACAGCAGGACCGTTGCTCAGTGCAAGATGCCATTTGACGAGCTACCAAATGGAGTTGTCACCATGCATGCTGTTGTACAACCAATATACGTAAAAGCAAAGACAGGTATATCTTTGTTCTGTCACTATTGGGGAAATGTTAGTGGAATTTTGACTGCAAGTGCAACACTTGAGAAATCACACCATAAGTTCGATTATCTTGTTCCCCTGGCAAATGTTTGGGACATAGAACTCCTTAAAAATGCCAAAATGTTTGATCTCCAGCTCTAAGCTATTTTTGTGTGACTTTACAGCTTGGTATTAGTGGTTTGATGTCATTGACCACGAGGGTTAGCATAATTAGAAGATAGCTGTTCAAGGCATAATTAGCTTTCTGTTTAAGCTTCAATCAATAGCGTGTTCTCAAAAACTTTACGTAGGGGTCTACCTATTACTTACTGGGCAGCTGATAAAGATCGAGCTTGAGACATTAGTTTCTAGAGATGGTTATTTCATGTCAACTCCGTGGCATTGGCTTTCACTTGTAAGATCCAGGCTTCATTGCATAAACTGAAAATGCACCAAAATAAGCAAGAGGACACAATAACACTCCAAAAAAGAGTCTGCTTAATGCCACATAAAAAATGCATTACCTTTTGCAATATAACTCTTGAACCATTGAGAAACCATTAATAGATGTGGTTGAATTATAAGTCTAGAGATTGGATGCAAATTTTGTATCTTGGCTTTTGGTTGTGAGCAGACGTCCTTTTCCAGTTTGGTGTGTTGCACATAAATTTGGATGCTTTTGGCCTAATAGGCAGCATGAGATATGATGCTACCATCCCCTCAGAATGAACACGACATACAGGATCATTACAGACACAAAGCTACTTAATTAATGGCTATTACTTAGTAAATTCTAGAGCTCTTTATTAATAGGGATCGGTGAACTTTTCGGATCATAACTTCATTTATCTCTTTTCTGATGATCTTGACCTATTCACCCCATTGTATTATTGCTTATCAAACATAGACTAGTATGGGCATGTAATTCCATTTTCATCCTCGTTCTTCTGTTCCATTCCCTTCCCAACTTCTGTTTATTCCTAATTTTTTTTCAGTTCTCAATATGAATTTGTTCCCATATATCAATTGACATGCAATTGTTTATGTTTTGAAGGCTTATAGATTAAATATATCCAGTAATTATCTGGATTTCATTTTAATTCCTTTACATATGCATCCTGTTAGTTGTTACAGGTTTGGCCTGCAACAGTAGTTAGTTGTGAGTTGTGACGTCTAAGGAATTCGTGAACTGTAGATATGAGTTTTACCTTAGTAATAACACTGGTTGACAAAAGTAACGTTGTGTTCTGGTGCATGTAGCCTTTCTATAAGCTGAGCTTTATAACAAATATTTTTTTATTACCTTATTTCTTTTGGTCAATTGGAATTCTATGTTTGCTTTCCTCCACTTATGGCATAGTTCTTGATTATCATTCTGTTCACAGACAAGAAGGTCGACAAGGTTCCCCAGAAAAACTTGTGCTCATGTTCAATATTGTGAGACTGGATGGATTAAGCTTTGGTCTTGGTGCACTCGTGGGGGTTTACATGCAGTTGGCGTAAGACTTACGAAATTGGAAAGTCAATAAATTTGTAAACAGCTTGATTCATTGTTAAGTGTATTGTGAGGGTGTTCCAGTGATTGCTGTTTGTGAAATGTATGGGTCTTCTATATAAATGTCATGTGATGTAAATTTGTAGCTGCAGAATTCTTGTTTACTATGAGAAGACAAGTCTGGGGTCTGTTTGTGTAAACCTCAAAAACCCAAAAGTGGTACAGTAGCTGGGATCTACCTTTTTNNNNGATATTATATCAGGTTCGGTTTTGGTTTTGAAATCCCGGCTAGATTGCCACCGAACACGGGATGGTTCAGTGCCAGTTTTCGTCAATCGACACTTTAGGTGGGCCTATGTAGCCTACATGACTGTGGAGCTAGGCCCGACTTTGGTTGAGGCAGCTTATAGGCAATATCTGAAGTTGAGCAAACATGATTACGAATTACAGATTCACTGCGATTGTTGGATTGCGTTACAGAATTTTTGCGATACAGATTTCGTAAGCCAATAAAAGATTCCGCTCCTCACTTAGTTCTGAACACTTATATTTTATATTGCCAAGAAATAGTTGAAATTTGCAAGAGCTCCGACCCAGCAAACTAAAGGTTGCATTAGTGAGAAAAAGGGTTTTCTGCTGATCTAGTGACCCTTCCTAGCTGCCGTCATTGAAGCTTACCTTTTCCGAGCATTCCAAATGAAGTGCTTAGCATCAAGGGCGAACATTCTAGTAGAGTAGAGGCAAATAAAACGTTTGAAATATGGTAAATATGTTGAAATATCGTTATGATTAGACCAAAAAATAAAAAAAAAATAGAAATTGCGGCAATACATTGATTAATCAAACAGTTAATTAACTGTTCAGAATGCATGGAAATTTAACTGGGAAAATGCATACTGAGAGAGAAATACGATTGGGCTTTTGTTATGGTCTTGGACATTTTTTCCAGTAAAACTGGTAATATTATAGATTAAAGTTCAGAGTCCCGACTAAGCCGGCCCATTTAGAGCAAATATAAATCGTCCAAGGGTTTTAGCCCATTGGAACTATATATAAATCTAAATTCCAATCCCTCTACTATCTGAGTGGCCTTTCAACATAATCAACTCATTAGGGTTCCATAGCCGTCTATCAGCAGACGAAGAAGAAATGGTTTTTGCTCTCTTCCCAATCTCTGCAATGCGTGCTTTTTTTTTTTTTTCCAGCTAATATTAGTGCTTGCATTGAAATGGACTGTTTCAGGCTCCGAAGAAGGGCGCGAAGCCGCTGGGGAAGAAGAAGCCCGAGAAAGTCGTGAACCCGCTGTTCGAGAAGAGGCCGAAGCAGTTTGGCATCGGCGGAGCTCTGCCGCCCAAGAAGGACCTGCACCGCTTTGTAAAATGGCCGCAGGTGGTAAGGATCCAGAGGAAGAAAATGATACTGAAGCAGAGGCTCAAAGTCCCGCCGTCGATTCATCAGTTCTCCAAGACTCTCGACAAGAACTTGGGTTTGTAGTTTCTCTCATCTCTTTCGATTTGGCTTTTTCTCCCTTGTGGTGATGTTTTGAAATGTAGGAAGTGGGTGTGGTGCCTGATAAAATTGATTGTTTCTGCAGACGCAATTTCTTATCCTTTTTCAGTCTCGATGTATTTACTGCAGTTGCAAGCAACGCAATTTCTTATCCTTTTTCATTTTCGATGTATTTAATGCAGTTGCAAGCTGATTGTCTTTAATTTACTGCAGTTCATTAGTTCTCCCAAGATCCTAGCTTTTAATTTCCTTTGTTTTTTAGCTCACGGGCTTTCCTTGTAATTATTTGGCATTTATTTTTTCTCCCAATTTCTTTGTTAAAAGTTTTTGTTTTGAATTTTTATGTCTTCTGGATAGACTTAAATTCCATGTTGAGTGGTACGATGACTGTGAAGTTAGATTTTTGGTATCACAAGTATTATGCCAAAAGCTGTAGTGCTCCAAACACATTAATGTAGTTATGTGGTTGTATGTGTGAGAAGACAAGTTAGGCATCAAGAACAAATCTTTCATGTTGTCGCTATTATCTGGAAGGCTATTGGGTTTGTTTGCCTATCATAATGTGGGAAGGGGTGCATGTTTTTTGTTATGAAAAATTTTATGTTACACATTTTTCTGACCTTAATGTGCATGATATTGTGGTCGAATTTGATTTTAGTTAATGAGAACATTAGCAGTCCATGTTAATGTGAGAAGGCCATGCTAGTCTCTCTCAGTTTGTTGTTTGTTTATCTTTGGATTTATGTAAACATCAAAGTATCCAAATATCAAAGTTCTGCTTCTTGTTTGGAAATGTTTACTTGAGTGCATTTGGTCACATCATTTTCCATTCCGTAATGCAGCAACAAGCCTCTTCAAGATGCTTCTCAAGTACAGGCCAGAGGATAAAGCTCAAAAGAAAGAGCGTCTTTTGCAAAGAGCTCAAGCTGAGGCTGAAGGAAAAGCCCCTGAATTGAAAAAGCCAATTGTGGTCAAATATGGTCTCAACCATGTGACCTACCTCATCGAGCAGGTTTGTATTTTTCACTGATTACATTTTTTGCTCTATTTTGGCTTGTTGTTACTTCTCATGCTTGCTGTGCAGAACAAAGCTCAATTGGTGGTTATTGCTCATGATGTGGACCCCATTGAGTTGGTTGTGTGGCTCCCAGCACTCTGCAGGAAAATGGAGATTCCATACTGCATTGTGAAGGGGAAGGCAAGGCTTGGAACTGTAAGTGGTACATAAAATTGTTAGTATTAGAATTTCTCTCTGGTAATCACTCTTGGTCCCTTAGTTGTATTTTGCTGTGGATTTTATCTGCAGATTGTTCATAAGAAGACTGCCTCTGTTTTGTGTTTGACCTCTGTGAAGAATGAAGACAAACTGGAGTTCAGCAAGATCCTGGAAGCTATCAAGGTAGATTGATGATAATTTTGAAGCTGAAATTTTTTTTTTTGCTGTTTTTACTTGTTTTGTGTTCTTAACGATGTTATTGTAAGTCTGGGAGAAACTGATGTATTTACTTGTGCTGTCTTTTTAGGCCAACTTCAACGATAAGTATGACGAGATCCGCAAGAAGTGGGGAGGTGGTGTTATGGGATCAAAATCCCAGGCTAAGACTAAGGCCAAAGAGCGGCTTCTAGCCAAGGAAGCTGCTCAGCGGTTGACTTGAAAAGCTGGTTATGTTTTTCCGTTAATGTAAGGATTTTTGTTTTTCAGATGTCCTTGTTATTCGAAGATAAACTATTACATTTTTTGGGGTACTTATCTCCTGTTAAAATGTGTTTTACCTGTTTTACCATTATATACTGAGCTTATGAGGATGACATAAATCAAAACTCAGCAGTCTACTCTACTTTTCTCAAATCCCATGCAAATGCGGATAACAAGTAAAAATTCTCGAATAATGAAAACGTTTCATGTTGAAACATAGCTAGCAACAATAAAATTGTAGCAGATATATCCAATGTATGTTTATACTAGTGGCCATCTGAATATGCACGCAAATTGGACCTAATTTTATTAAATTTTGAGCATTTAGTAATTGCATAATAAGAGGATGTTTCTAAATTATCTATTGCTATAGGATGTTCCCAAGTTCACGAATTACCTATTGCTCTTTTGTTGCTGAAAATTTTACCTCATAAAATTTGAGTCTATTATGCCTTAAATCGTAAACACGTAAAAATCGTTGGCTCACCAATTAAATGAAAGTATATATCTTTTTTTGTTTTTTTTTTTTAACCTGAATATAACGCTTCATTTATGCACTGGAAAATGAGATGAAACACAATGCGTCATTTAAGGGGAACAGAGATGAAACACCGGGCTTCGGGCTTCATTTAAGGAACAATAAAGGAGTCACTAATAACATGTGTTTTGGAGATTCTTCCTCAATTATAAAAAGTTCGAATTGCCTCAAATGCTCAATGTTAAGAACGCATTACATGTTCATACAACGATTAAAAGTACTAACAAGAAATTACCTATTATTAGTTATAAGTTATTAGGTATAAGCTACATCTAATTTCATTTNGAGAGGCCCCTCAACAAATTATGTCATCAATCTTGTCTAAATCCTTCACTATGAAACGAAACGTTAAAGGCAATATTGACATGACTATATATAACAATATCAATTGCACTTTGCCTAATTATTAATAAGCCAACAGCAGTATAAGTTAGTTACTCGAGCATGGTTAAGCACACCCTTCCAAAGCCTTTTGGAATATATATATAGATAAAGGGGATGGGAAGCCAACTCTATAAAAAGCACTGATTGATTGATTGCCAAATAGTTAGTCTGATTTTATCATTTTTTCTGCAAATTGTATAGACATGTACAGCCTCTTACTTGTGCACATCTTTGTTTATTTTCAAACAGGAATGTTCAGAATCTACGCACTCGTGGCACATTGTGCACCGATACAATATTTTCTGCAAAAAAAGCACGCGCTTCTTACATGGCCCTTACATACGAAAAATATATTTCAAGTATCGAATAATTTTCCGGTATCAAGAGTCTTGAGTATCAAATCATATTAATACCATCTTTCACACATGAAATTTACGTAGCACACCGATAATTAAAAAAAAAAAAAAAGAAGAAGAAGAAGAAAAAAAAAACCGAGAAAGAATAGAATATAGAATAGGATATTCTGCGTGCATGTACATCGTTAGAATGTGTAGACAAGGGTGATCATTAGCTGCAAAACCGACATGAAAGTCAAGTGAGTACATATAGCAGCCAACTCTGATGAAGCCATAGTGACTCATCTCATGGTAATCATAGAGCATGACTTGCACATGTGGGTCTTTGAGCCCATCCCTCTATTTTTGCTACATTGTAAAAACAGGTCTTTTGTCTAACCAAAACGCATATCTTCTTGTAATCTTCTCCTTGTTCTTCTCTGCTCAGCTCCATCTTGGGCCCCTTTTAGGAAGCCACAAATTTCCATTTGTATACTAAAATAATAAAACAGATCTTACTCTTCTTTATAACATACTTGCACTTGTTCCCTATCCTTTAGAAGAAAAAAAAAAAGGAATATTCATTGTTTTCCTTCTTGTGATAATCAAGATGAAGGTAAGTGCAGAACTCTTCAAATTTTTGAAAATATGACTTCACACTAACATAAATGATGCCAAAGTTACTAACTTTCTATATTTTCGCGTATTTCTCTTTTGTATTCGGTTTCTATCTATACGAATGCAGTTACTCGGTTGGATGCACCGTAAGCTCATGCAGAATAGCACAGATCCTGTGAAAAGTTACACAATTGGTTAGTTCTTTTTTTATTAACCATTCATAATCTACTAGAATACTAATCTAAAATTTAAATTTCCAATCCTCGCAGAAAACCATTCGTCTTGCTTCTCCTCGGACGACCAAAATTACTATATCGCCCCTACGAAAACCCCCACACGCCAGAGCCTCAAACGCGAAAGATCCCCGAACTCGTTTGACGAGCCCTTCGACTTCCTCTCGATCGGAACCTTTGGAACCGAGCTTCTTCTCAACACGGGCCCGCCCACTCCAACTCTTCCTGCTCCAAACGTGGAAGCTTTGACCGGTCAACCGATCGAGATTACCGAGAATGACCTTGACCTCATAAGCCACGAGCTCGAAAAATTTCTCGAGTCTGAGGATGTTGAAACTGGGTACGACTCGTCTGAGAGGAGCAGCCGTGCTAGCGTGATAACTTTAACCGATCAAGGCAATGTTCAGATATTAGCTTCTTCGTGTCCTCTTCAGAATTATCTTCTTGCAGCTCCAGTTCGTGAGGAGGTGAAGAAAACGAGGATGTCTCTTGAGGAGCTTTTTAAGGAGGGAAAAAATTGCGGTGAAGAAAATGGTGGTGCTTCTGTGAAGAAAGGCGAAGGAGTGGGTGGGAAAGGGAATGTGGCTCGTTTGGTGAAGAAGGTTGTGAAGAGGTTGAGTTCGAATTCAAGTAATAGTACTTCTGGTTTTGATGATATTGATGATGATGATGATAATGCTGGTGTTTCCTTGCCGATCAAGAAAAAACTGGCTAAGGTTCGTTTTTATTTTAAATTAGAACTTTGTCGAGTTTCTTTGTTTTCTATCTTTTGAAGAGGACTGAACGTTTGACCTAATAGGCAGAGTTACGATACATTGTTTAAAGGAAGTTACATGTAGAGATTTTGGGAGCTTATAGTTAGTTAAGATGTTAATACTAATGAAGAAATAATGACATCGAAGTTTTTTGGACAGAATGAGTTGATAGAGCTTGCAAAATTTTGGCAATGACAATTTTTAATAATTTAAACAAAACTGGATGAAGAAGTTAAAAGGATATCTCACTGTTTAAAATCAGCTCCTGAGCTCACTTCCAGCGTTTAGTGATTTTGAGGATTATATTGTTTTGAATCTCTTTCTGTTGATTTGGACATCATCACAAAATCTCTGAGGAGAACAGAACACTACTGGGAAAATGAGTTATAGTGATTAAAGGTTCTCACTTTCTGATGTGATGAAATGCAGAAGCTTGTCAAAATGTTTCAGAAGAAGGTTTATCCTGAGGAGATGACAGGCAAACGGTTTTTTAAGGTGACAAAGAGCAACAAGAAGAACAAATATAATCCCAGCAAGGAAGAACATCTTGCTGGCCACAACAACTCTGATCAATCAGCTAAGAGTAAAAAGAAGACCATGAGACTATTCTGCACTGGAGTTTGCACGGGATCTTCACCGGTAAATGCAGGGCATTGGATCAAAACAGATTCTGATTGTAAGTTGAAATGTGAAATATTTTCATTCACATAATTAGTTATAGGTTATGTTTGGTAAAACTAGCTGATAAGTTAGTTGATAAGCTAGTTGATAGCTGATAAACTAGCTTATAGCTTATAAGAGATTTTCGAGCTTATAGCTTATGACTTATAGCTGAAAAACTAGATTATATGATAAAAGTGTTTGGTAAAGTTAGCTGATAAGCTAACTGAAACAAAAATCTCAACAAGTTTATTTGAAAAACTACCCAAAGAAGCTTATGAGATAAGTTCGCGCTTTTTAAAAAAATTCATCGTACCAAACGAAGCTTACTTAAATGCAGGAACCTTATAAATTAACCAAATAAGCTAAGCTAGCTTATTTGTCTACCAAGTATAGTCATAGTATCATTAGATAGTTATTAGTTATGACTTATGACTAAGTTACTTGTCTGACTCTCTCTTCTCTCTCCCAATTCATTGTTACAGACTTGGTCTTGGAGCTGTAGAAGCAGATAGACAGAGAGCAAAAGCAAGAAAGTTCTCATCATATATAATGTGTCAGTGTGGAGTTTGCTCGTGTGGTTTTTCATGTTCGGTGTGAATTTCAGAATCAAATAGACAAAAAAATAAATTGGGAGTATATCCTGTGTATGAAGTTTGAATATAATTGTGTAATGGATGTTACTGGTGTGTTTGATTTTTGGTTTTGCTTTTCATGAACTTATATCAGCTGCAAAGATACAATCCTATCTTTTTAATGTCAAGAACTAAAGCAATTGTTGTTGAATATCACAAGTATTGGTTCATTTCCAGTTCTTGCATTGTTCATGCTTGAATATTTAACTTAGTTGATGATTTTCTCATCCCATCGAAAAATGGAGATGATCAACTTAGAAGTATTTATAGAACAGTGCATTGCTAGGTTTTCTCTTTAAACTCGATACATGGACCTGAACCATGAACGGGTGCACGTATGCTAGATTAAACATGGAAGGNCAAGAAAATGAGACATATTTTATTCTGAAAAAAGAGAGAGTATCGAACTATAAGCAACACACAAGCACTATAGAGAATTACAGTTTGGGACAAACTTCAAATGTATACATTTCTTCGAACATGAACAGGATCTAGTGCTTGTCCTCCTTGGGAGCATCTTTTCCAGGCATTTCCTTTGGTTTCGATTTCTCTATTTCCCTGCAACAAATACCAGAAAAACTCAAGTCTGCAGCAGCGCATAAGAAACTACCGTGGATTAAAACCACATAACGCTACTTTTAGGTTGTTTAAAAACAATCAATCTAGCAACGCTAATCAGAGTCATCATCAACCATTACAGCAAAATGAAAAAGGAAAAGGCTAGGGCTTTAAGGAGACACTAATAACAATGTCAATTTGTATTGGAAGGTAAAATCAGCCATTTCTTTATGGTTTCCATTTGAAACATGAACTAATAAGAAAAAAAAGGAAAATGATTAAATGGATAAAAAGATGAGGGGGTTAACGGCAGTACTTAGCGGCAGCGGACGACTCTTCCTCAAGCCAGCCACGGATATGGCGGACGTTACGGCGGAAGATGGCGGCTGATTGTTTCACATCGCTCCTCAACAGCAATACCACGGCACCCACTCCGGCCACAGTCAGTATGAAATTCGTCAGCGCCATTTTACGGGGCTGAATATTGATCTATCTCCTCCCAAAATGAGACCTTTAAGACCTTCACTTCAATTTACCAACTCCAATGTTGCAAACAATTTATCAAATGATGCTGGTATGGAGTATTGAGATTACTCGACTTTTAGGGATTTGAAAGAAAAAAAAAAATCGTGAAGGTAATTTTAGGGAAGAATTAGAGACGAGATAAAATCAACGTATCGGGTCGAGACCCATCTTATATTCCCTGATACAATTATGGGCTTGTAAAGGCCCAAGCAAGAGATATTTGTTTGGCTGATTTACATTTGTACCGTGCGTGTGACTAAATAATTGCAAATCTACACATTTTCAAACTTATTTGCATATGTAAGGCATTAATCCTTTTTAATTATGTAAATACTTAATAATTAAATGATGGATTACAAATGGTAAGCAGTTTTTACATCCCGTAACTGAAGGGCAGTTAATCTGAAAATTGTGTATAAGATAAATGTTATGTAAATAATGCATTTTACTCCGTCATCGAGATCTCTTCCGTCGCCCACATCTTCTCCATCTGGAACTTCTCCTCTGCCGCCCGTCGACCCCTGCACCTCTTTTGCCAGGCGTCACCTTCTCTCCCACCACCGTTCGCGGCTCCGCCCTCTCCCTTGGCATCGGCCTCTCTGGGTCCCCTGGCCTCGCCGACACCCTCTTCGGGTCCTCCGACGGGACTCTGAGGGTGGAGATTTTGAAAACTCTAGTGAATGCAGCTTCGTCTATGGACAAGATGTTCTCACCGACTGGAATGTCGACAGCTCGACAGGGGTAGTGGCATGCCTTTTTTGGAGGGAAGGGCCATACGGGGTGGTCGAGAAGGATAAAGCAGCAGCGGTGTTGGCGGATGATTGGGTTGAGAAGACGTTATAAAAACGCAACATATACTGAACATATACTAACTAGATAAATGTGGTTAGATAAATGCTATGTATATAAAATCGTTACATATACTGAATATATACTCACAATTATGGTTAGATAAATGTTATGTATATAAAAAAGCAACATATACTTACTATATACAAAACATATACTGAAAATATACTGACTATAAACATAACATATAACATATATGATGAAATGTTATTTAAATAAAAACACAACATAGACTGAAAATATACAAACTATAAACACAACATATACTGAAAGAATATTTCGAATCCGTCTTGCGTAAGATTTGACGCTCGTTGTTAATCCTTGCATAAAATATACTAAAAAATTTATGATGTGATCTTGAACATGATTTGATGTTCGTCGTTAAGTCTTGCACAAAATATTCTGATGCTCGTGTTCGCTTTTTCGCCAAAGGAGGATTCATCGATGTCGCCGAAAATATTTGCACTGTTCTTCGCCACATTTACTATGCGATTTTTTTAACTCTCTTACTTTTGATTTATTATGGAATTGAAGCTTCCTTTGAACAAGATTCCGGCCGAACCTTTGGTTTAATGTCGCAGAGATGAGAATTGGATCTTGGTGGTGGGACTTCTTCTTCACCACATGGGGGTTTGACAATTTTCGCCATTTGTTTGCTATTAGTTCTCGTGGAAGAAGATAATAGGGAAAAAAGAACATGTCGATTTTCAGAAACTATAATGTCAAAGAAAATTGAATGTAGAAAGAAAGAAAAATCGGAAGTGGCAGATGTTCAAATCGGGATTTCATAAATTAAGAGCAGATGAATCAATTTTATGAGAGATGAAGAAGAAAACACGATGATGAGGAGTTAGAGAAGATATCTCACATCCCATGAAATCCTCACAATACCCCATAAAACTCAACCTACCTCAATTAAATTGTTTAAAAAAGGTAATATTCAATTTGTGTACCATCGTATATGTGCAAATAGTTTGTGTATTTATTTTACTTTTGCTAATAAAATTTTATGCTCGTGTACATGCAATTATTTTAGTTTATGTTCGTTGATAGTGTAATTTTCTCTATTTGTTTCCATCGATATGTTACCTTACTATAAAAATGAAAAAAAACCTAGAAATCACTTGGATAAATAATCTTGTACCTGTAACTTTTTGAGTAATTTAAAATATTATGTTTCTAATTTTAATGTTTGTTTCTGATATTTATCTCTATCAGTGAAATAATAAAGTCGTTTTTAAAATATTATTTTAGTGTACTGATTCAAGGGTTACGATTAAAATGGTTTGAGCATGTGCGCAGGAGAGACTTCAAGGGAACGGTGAAAAAGGTAGAAACATTAAAATTTAAAAAGCAGAAAATTAAAAAAAATAGAAGTATACCGGAAAAAATTTGGAATGAGACAATAAAAAATTATTTAAAAAAAATTTAAATTTGAATGAAGATATATGCTTTGATCGAGCTCTAGCAACGTGTGATCCATATATATATAGTCGACCCTACTTTCGCTGATCTAAAAAGTAAATACTTTATCTTTTATATTATTCCATCAACTTAGATATTAACTAAGAAATAATTTAATTTCCAACTTTACGTTGGCCCTCGACTTTATCCTTTTAATTCTTCTTCTCACATATAAACTCAAATCCAACCTCTATTGAATGTTACTAATGTTAATTCCATATCGTAAATCAACAAATCACGGTTAAAAAGAAAAAAGAAAAGGAATGGGAGAAGATGATGAGCAGATAAGAGTACACCAAGAGATGTGGTCGATGATAGTCCTATAATTTCCGTTCTGCTCAACTTCCTATCAACTTTCGCAACTTCTCATTGGTACCTTTATTCTCGTCTTCATCTCACCCACCTCAACTTTCGCCTGTGGCTTTTGGTTTGCTCTTTAGCGGGATATCGATATCTCTAATGCTTTTTGGGATAGTTGCTTTGGTAATTGGTTTTATTCTGTTGCCTTTGGTGATTATGCTCCTCATAGTCTTCTATTTTGCCCGGATTGCGGCCATGTTATGGGAAATTGGCCACAATGTTCTGATTTGGTCTCTTTCCGACAATAAAAATGTTGCACCAGGTAATAAACAACTTATTTTGTAATTTAATTTGAGCATTTTCATTTCCTTGATTAATTGTAAATTTTACTTGCTTAGTGCACAACACTATGGAGGACCAAGTGTAAATAAAGTTCAATTAACAATTCATGGTATACTACTTGTACACAATTGTTATATCAACACAAGGATTGTTAGATCAACATAAGGAGTAAAGTTTTCTCTCTATTGGGAGTTCTTTCTCTCTTTTGGGAGTTTTTCTCTGCTTGTAAGAGGTTCGAGTATTGTGAGGGGAAAATTGTTGTGTTTCGTCTTGGCTTCTCAATATGAACTTTGCAGGGGTGAGCTGTTCTGATTAGCGTGCGTCTCCGAGCAGGGGCGAGCTGTTCTGATTAGCGTGCGTCTCCGAGCAGGTAAGGGGAGAGCGGGAGGAGCTCTTGTATATAGGGTTGGGGGCTTTTCTGATCGGTAGTTAGGGCTTTTTGTGGGGTAAGTTCGATCTGTTAATTGGGGAAGGATGTCCGGAAATGCAGAAGATCTGGAGAATCTTATGGGGAAATTCTCCATAGCGGAGAAAGAAATCTCGGTGATTGACCTGGAAGATAATGATGTGTGTCTGAGTGAGGAGGAATGTCTCCGAAGTCTGTTCGGCAAAATGGTGGGGGACAGGCGAGCTCATTGGCTTGGGATAAAACGAGCTATGGCGCAAGCTTGGAAAATGGGCAATAAACTGGATGTAAGGGAATTGGAGCCTAATTTTTTTCAGTTCATTTTTCAGAACAAACAGGATATGGAAACAGTGGCAGTGGATAGACACTGGATTTTTGAAAATCAAAATATGATCATTCGAGGGTGGAAAGCAGGGTTGAAGAGCTCGGATGAGAGCTTCAAGGTTATCAACATGTGGGTACAGGTGCACAACGTCCCGGTGAACTGGTTATGTACGGAGGTGGGCTTAAAGGTGGGCAAGTTGTTTAAAGAGGTGCAAAATATACAGATAGCGAAAGCAGGAAGTTCAGGGGGAAGAATTATTAGAATTCTTGCTTCTATTGCATTAGATGAACCTCTGCCAAGATGGGCTAGAATTAGATTGGGTGATACAATGGTTACAGTCCATTTAAAATATGAGAGGCTTGTGCACTTATGTTACTATTGTGGAAGAATTGGGCACTTAGACAGGAGCTGCAAGATGAGAATAGAGGACATCAGGGCCAAGAATGTTAAAGAAGGGCAATTTGTAGATTGGCTGAGAGCAGCCGAAGGAGGACAGTGGATTGAATCACCATCACTAAGCAATGACAGGGGATCAAAAGAGAAATATCCGGACAGTTCACAACCAAGAGAGCAAAGTACTGACAAGGAAATTGAACTACGGGAGTCTACAAGCAAAGTGGGTAGCCACACTAAAGGGTCTAATAATACAATTTTTCAAGGTACTCAGCCTCTGCCTATGATGGAACTAAATATTCCAACAACATTAGAGGGGAGTGGACATACAGATCAACCAAAGCTTAATGCACCTGAGGTGATGCAAGTAGAGGAGGTCCCGATAGCGAACGAGGTGATTTTACATCCCACAGGAAGTCAACGAAAAGGTTGTCATAGCATTGGACAAAAGGCTCAAACGACGAGAGGGTGGAAGCGAACATCAGGAAACGAAAGTAGAACACTTGAAAGTACCACCCTCAAAAAGGAGATGCCGATTGTTATAGGAAAGAAGAGAGAACTACAGGAGCCTAACCCATTAGATGCGGAAGAAGATGTAGTGCAGCACGGGAGTGAGGGGAAGAAGAAAGCAAAACTGATCGACGTTACGGTAGAGGAAGCCAGCCTCAATTGACTCCCAAAAGAACAATGAAGGCTGTGGTGTGGAATGTAGAGGGTTGGGTGGACCCTCTACAGTTCCCCAATTGCGAGAGACAATTAAGTCTCATCACCCTAATTTTGTATTTTTATCGGAAGTTAAAAATCAAAAAAAGTATGTTTCTAAGGTCTGTAGCAATTTGGGCTTCGCTAATGGATGGTATTATGTTGAACCTAGGGGTGTGAGAGGGGGGCTTCTTGTATGTTGGGAGCAGGAGGTAGAAGTACTATCTATGAAGGGGTGTGAGTTTTGTATTCAAGTCCAAAATAAAATGGCAGGTGGGGTAGAAGCTGAGTGGATTGTGTTTGTTTATATGAGTACTATGAAAATAGAAAGGGAGCAACAATGGGGAATTTTGATGGAGGATAAAAGGAATTGGGGCGAAAATTGGGTTATTCTGGGTGACTGGAATGACCTTAGTTGTCGCGAGGAGAAGAATGGGGGCTTAGTGCGATCAGAGAGAAGTTTTCAGGGGTTTAATAATATTATTGGGCAGATGGGTATGTTTATGTTGAGAATGGAGGGTTATAAATTCACGTGGGGTAATAATAGAAAGGACGAGGGATTTGTGGAAGAGGTTTTAGATAAAGCGTTCGCTTCCTTGAGTTGGCTGAATAATCACCCTCATGCATCTGTCAAATGTGTGTTGAGAAGTGCTTCTGATCATGCATTGTTGGTCTTAGAATATGGAAAAAAATCCGGGGTGTCGGAGAAGAAGATTTATATTCAATAAACGATGGCTGAAGCAGGGAGGAGTCGAGGAAGTAGTGAGTTCGGCTTGGCAGATGGAGGAGCAGGGCACACCTTTTTTAAACCTTAAAGAAAAAATTAAGCAAACAAGGCAGGCATTTTGAACTGGAGCAGAACACTCAACACAGGAAAACAGGTGACTATCGGCAAATTTACGCTACAACTTGAAGAAATGAGGAAATTGGGGGGGCGATAGAAATTGGAATGAATGGGAAAAAATCCAAAAAGAGTTAAACGATGCACATTGTTCAGAGGAGCAATTTTGGAGGCAAAAATCCAGGATGTTGTGGATAAAAGAAGGCGATCGCAATACGACATTTTTTCATGCCATAACTTTACAAAGAAGGAAGCAAAATGCCATAACAAGGTTGGTCGAAGGAAATAGAGAGTGGACTATGCAACAGGAGATTGAAGAACATATTCTTAAATTCTACGAAGAGTTGTTTGCTTCCGAGGGATCAATGATGGAGGAAGAAGCATTGCAGTACATCAAGCCAGTGATTACATCGGACATGAATGCTAAATTAAAAGCCCCTGTGGGTGAGCTGGAAATTCGAACTGCTTTATTTCAAATGAACCCATCGAAAGCCCCGGGTGAGGATGGGATGACTGCTCAATTTTATCAACATTTTTGGCTGGTGATTAAGGACGATTTATGCAAGCCAGTGATCAGTTTCTTCGAAAGTGGACAACTATTACGATACTGGAATCATACTCTCGTGGCGTTGATACCCAAATGCTTGAACCCTACAACAATTAGCCATTTCAGACCGATTAGCCTTTGTGGGGTCGTTTATAAGGTGATTGCAAAGATTCTGGCGAGTCGATTAAAACTTTGTCTGGAAGTTTATATTAGCCCGGCTCAAGCAGCATTTATTCCGGGACGACAACTCTTAGACAATGTTATAATCGCTCAGGAAAGTTTTCATTTTTTGAACAGACACAGATCAGGGTCAAATTGTTTTATGCCTCTTAAGCTCGATATGCTAAAGGCCTACGACAGAGTGGAATGGGGGAGTATTTGTAAAACTATGCTGAAAATGGGCTTCGAGAGGGTGTTCGTGAAATAGGTTTTTGCTTGTATATCATCCACCACAATGTCTTTTCTGGTCAATGGAAAGTCAGTAGGGTATCTCAATCCGACGAGAGGGATCCGACAGGGAGATCCGATATCTTCATATCTATTTCTTATTGTATTGGAGGTATTTTCTTCGCTAATCAAAGGAGTAGGAGACATGGGAGAGTTCAAGGGATTAAGGGTCGTGAGGGGAGGTCCAACATTAACTCATTTATTGTTTGCAGACGATTTGTTAGTCTTCTGTAAAGCGGAGATGGGGCAGGTCTATGTCCTGAAGAGAATATTACGGACTTACCAAAGATTTCCGGGACAAAGAGTAAATTTATTGAAGTCGTCGGCGTTTTTTAGCAAAAATTCAAATAAGGGCCTTAAGAATGGAATCTGCCAATTACTGCAAGGTATTCAAGCTCATACCTCCACCCGATACCTCGGACTGCCCCTTGGTATTAGACAGTCTAAGAAAGAAGCCTTTTCGTGTGTGCTCACAACAGTGAAAAGTAGACTGTCCAATTGGAAGAATCGGTATCTATCTACGGCCGGGAAGGAGGTACTAATTCGAGCAGTAATTAATGCACTTTCGGTTTTTGTAATGTCGTGTTTTAAACTGCCGATGAGTATTTGTGACGAGCTTAGTCGTTTTACGGCTGTTTTCTGGTGGAGTTGAGGAGAACAACAAACTAAAGGCATCCATTGGAAAAAATGGGACACGTTAACTCTCCCCAAAGATCATGGCGAGCTTGGGTTTCAAGATTACAGACTGTTCAATGAAGCCTTGTTACTTAAGCAACTTTGGATAATTACTACTAAACCGGAGCTGTTGGTGAGTCAGGTGTTGAAAGCCAGGTACTACCCATCTTCTTCCATTTTTGAAGCTAAGAAGAGCCCATCGGCTTCATGGCTTTAGAATTCTTGGGCGGAATTGATCCCGCTCTTTGCAAAAGGAATTTCCAAAGAAATCAGAGACGGACGGCTCACTAGAATATCTGATTGCAGCTGGGTACCCCAGCTAAATCAACGCAACCCACAAATTTTGAACAGCTGCAACCGGGACTTAAATTGGGTGCACAAGCTCATTTGTGAAGACGGACGAGGATGGAATGATACAATCCTGCGCGAGATATTTTCTGAGAACACCCGACAGGCTATTCTTAGCATTGATACTCTTGATCCAAACAATAGGGACAGGTGGAAATGGGATCTGGAAAAAAGGGACACTTTACAGTGACTAGTTCATATGCTTATTTAATGGCAAGGAAAATTTTAAAATTGGATGATCCTGAAGGTAGCAGTTCGGCGAATATGGACAAGATGGTGTGAAATCGAACGTGGAAGCTAAGAATAAAAGGTAAATTAAAACACTTTTTATGGAAGTGTGTTACATGAATTTTGCCGGTAAGCACCAATGTGGCCCGGAGAGGTATGCAAATCGATAATATCTGCCGTATGTGTGGTGAAAAGGATGAGACAACCGAACACATTCTGTTAAATTGTAGGAGGGCTCAAATTGTTTGGAAACTTGCACCGATCGAATGGGATATTGATACATGTGCGCACATATCTTTTAAATGTTGGTGGTGGCAAGTGTGTTCGATTGACAAGTCGGAGGTGGCAGAAGACCGCATACAGTTGTCCACTTATATTCTATGGTGGTTGTGGCGGTCTCGGAACTTGTGGGTCTTTGAGAAAGTATGGATGCCGGAGGACGTAGTGGTACGAGGAGCGTGGCGAGATTGGCAAGAGTATGCATTGGAGTTAGAGTAGTATTGGTTAGTTGCTTTTTGTGTACCTCTGTTTCTATTTTGTATAGCTGGAGTAAGTATTGGTAATAGCTTTTGGGTTCTGTGTTATTGGTGTTTCGGAGAAAGGGACCGGTGGTTGTATCCTCGCCTTTAGCCGTGATTTTGCGTTGTTGGTAAATCTTTAGACCACTCTTTGAGTGGATCTCCCATGGTGTGCTCGTGAGTGTTTGTAAATATGGTCGAATGTTGTTCGGATGTTTTGTTAATATAGTTTATCTATTGTTCGAAAAAAAAAAGTTTATANATATTATGATATACTAAGGTTGTCGTTAGCGAAAATTGGACAGTTTTAAATGTATGTACATATTTTAAATTGAAATGTCATATTTTAAAAGATTTAACTAAAAATGTGTAAAAAAATATGACAAGTCGATCCATTTAAGTGATTTTGTGACTTTCTTGTGTCATGCTATATATATATATATATATATATATAACGGTGTAGAATTCATTATATTGCTAGTTTTTGCTATATTGTCGTTTATCTCATCTAATAAGAAAAATTTGTATTTAATTGCAGTGTGGAACAACTCAAACTGGGATAACTCAGGGACATAAACATAATAGAGAAATAGGATCATGGAAGGATTAGCATCAATAAAGAATAAAGGTTTAGTGAGGTTCTGTACATATTAATTAGATTCGTAATCTAGACAGAGATGGCTGTAAATAATTGTTTTATTATACAATATGTTTGTTACTTTGTTCTTCTATGGAAATGCCACGTGCTATGTTTACTTTTAACACGCGTTCATGGCTTTAAGGTAATATTTATATACTTTTGGTGCATATGATTATGGTCTTATCTTTGTACGCCCATGGTGACTCAAGAACATTACACCTATCCTCAGCCATTACAATACACTTTAATGTGCATTTTACTTCTCCGCAATATAGTTCATTAAGATTTCACATGGTCTTTTCCAAAAAAATAAAATAAAATAGAGATTTAGTCCTCTAACTGACACCTAATCGAAAAATAATTTAGTGATCACGTTGACTTTACAAAACATCTTGTTACTACAAAAAGACCTGACTTTTGGTCCTTCCACCCGACAACCGACTAACATATCTAACTCAGCAGTTGATAAAATTGACCGGCTTTGGATGGATCAAAAGTTAGGTTTTTTCTACAGGGTATTTTGTAAAATCAATGTAATTACCACATATTTTTCAATTTGGTGTCAGTAGCATGACTAAATCTCTAATTTTTCCATCTTTTGCGTGTCTGTAATTGTTCATCACATTAAGCATAATGTTTGTTTTGAGTTTCCATCAATACAAATTAAATGATAACTGGTTTTCACATAATGTGTTGTGTCTTTTGTGAAATGGACTACTTCGTCCTATTGTTCATTCCATTAACATTTTTGGAGAATCGTCTGGATATTACTTTTAATTGAATTTGCACTATTTTGTGATTGGATAACTTCTCAACACCATGCTGAAATTGTATATAAAACCTTTAACTTTGTCGACACCGTATGATAGGGATTATAGTAGCGACTCGGGTTAAGCCTAAAAGCCGAACTGGATGAGAAGGACCGTGGGGGGTTCGACCTGCTTAAACGGTCGAGCATATACCTAGGGCCGATTGGTCGTCGACCCACTCAGGCGGTCGAACTTGGACCCAGGTCGGCTGCAAGACAATAGTGAGATGAGCTTAGTGTCAACCTATGCGCCCCAGCATCGGCCTATGCGCCCCAGCATCGGCCTATACGCCCCAGCATCGGCCTACGCACCCCAACATCGACCTATGCGCCCCAGCATCGGTCTATGCGCCCCAACATCGACGTATGCGTCCCAACATCGACTTATGCTCCCCAGCATTGACCTATGCGCCCCAGCGTCGGATCGGCGGACGATCGACCGTGCATCAATCGGCCCAAGGAGTCGACCGTTAAGGGTTGATTGGCCACGAATCAACTGACTCAAGGGGTCGACCCTCGACATAGCGTCCACCGACTAAATGACTTAGGGTCGAGCCTCGGCCCTCGAAACTATCATACGCCAGGTGCTCGGTCAACGAACGTCTAAGGATTTATGGTTTCGAGGACCGTACAGTCAGCTACTATATAAGAGGTAAAATCGTCGATTGAAGGGTAA